TTGATTGAACTAATTGTTATCAGCCTTTCTGAAACCGAATATTCCGAGTTGGACAGTTCGGGGTTACTCAACCCTGAGTATCATTTTTAACTCTGAGTTTTCTAAACCCGCTTTCTGAAACAGACCCCAGGACAGAACTACAAAGTGTTTGTTGCTGTTTGCGTTGCAGCTGCGAACTCTGCAAAATGTCCTGTGAGGTTTTTTTCTTTTTCAAGAGTTAATATTTTGAATATATGGTATCTTTTTTTTAAATTAAAAATACAAGAGTAAAGGTGCTTTTAGCATTTGCTGTTTGATACATCGTAATTATTTCAGTTTTTCTTGCAAATACATATTTGTGCTGCAGTGTCATGCACAAACAAACTATTATCTGAGAACCTCAAGATCAAACCTGTGTCAACATCGTGTCATTCTTTTGGTCCATTGGAATGCGGTAAGCCATCATACGCTCCTATTGGAAACTAAGAACATTACATGAAATTGCTTATTTGGACAAAAATGGGTAAATGATGTCATTTGTTTAAAGAAATATTACAAACTACCATTTTCATGCGGTGAGTTTAGAATAAAATCAATTTTACCCAAATTGCATAATTCAGTACTGTCACTAACAAGGAATTAAACATTTTTGAACAGACAATCTATGATAGTTTACACCTTTAATGAAATATAAACAGAAATACCTCAATGCATGGCAAAACCTCACTAAACCATCAAGTTTCACATCAACAAAGGACTAATGAGTCATTATAGGTATGCAACACTTTGTGGCATCTTTAAAAACAGGTATTTATCCTCCAGAGTTGGGGCTGCAAAAACTACAGTGAATATTAAACTCCAAGACTGTGTGGATGAAGTCACTGCATGCATTTTTTGTAGGTTAAAGGTGCCCTGAAAATGAGTGATATTAGCATACACAAGGACAATTACTGTGAGAATTTATGAAGTCATGTGATAAAGACAGTTCTACAGTTAGATAAAGAAACAGTCCTGTTCCTGTTAGTGCTATTCGTCAAGGCCTGTTACTAGCAATCCTCCATCACAATCTATTATTCTAAGTCAGCTCTAAGACGCTGACTCAAACTGCAGTGAAGCATCTTGCTGGCTGATCAGAAAATATCACATACTTTAAAATTTGTGTAGAAGCTAAATTATATATTAAAATGTGCAAATCAACATACATATA